AAAGGGAAACCTCAAATCTCCAACAGCCCCTGAAAAATGAAGGCATCAGAACAATCATATTAACTGTGTAACACTGTCCATAATCATGGCCTCTAATTACTTGCAAGCACCCGTCTCCGGATGCTTCTCACAATTCTGCAACGTCAGCGGGAGGATCAAGCTCGTGAGGAATGTTTCCAGGATAGACTCCATCAAACGGCCAAGACAAGACCAAAACTTACAATTCTGCGCAGGTTTTCCAACGACAAGCTCACCTCCTATCAACAACTAGCACTGAACGAAGCTCACAATTAGCGAAGCTGCATGGAAACAACAAAAAAGACAACAAGAAAGGTAATCTCCTTCTTTTGGACTTTAAAGATCAAAATTACATATTGTGGAAATAACATAAAAACAAGTAACTTGTAAAACAATCTACAATATCCAGTGAGAACAAGAATATATTCAGTTAGACAAGCAATCAAAACCAGCGTGCTCTCCGACATATAATCACACTAAATTACTAGTGAAAGATCATTAGCAGGAAAAAGAGGCCAATACTCGGTAATGCTTCTTCTCCGCTCACATGGATGATCACCTTCCAGTGACAGAGGAAACACACATTTAAGTGCAATGTTCAATTCAAACGCAGTGATTATGTGAAGGGTGGGTGGAGAAAGTTTGGAATAACCTCTTCACACCAACATTTATATGAAAACTAGGTGAAAAAAATATGTCGAAAGAAATAACCTATAAGGAGGTCTGTATTCTGTATGAGCAAAAGGGGGCTCAGCTTAAGAGGCTCTGTCCACAGTAGTGTGGATATAGGTATCACAACTTAACATATAGAAGAAAAATACATTTACCTGTTGGTGACGTCTCACTGGCACGGAACAGCTTCAAAGTAAATTTGATCTTCACCCGGTTGAAAAGTTAAACCATTTGCAAAGGAAAAATAACCAGTGAAACACAGAATCTCTCTCGCCTCACCTTCTACACAAAACTGTGACAGCTGATATTAGTTTTAGCAGGAAAAAGCTCAACCCCTATAAATGGTGGGTGTTTAGACTTAAAAACTTTTGGAGGGTCACGGTTCCCTGCATTTGCAACCACTGGATGCAGACATCTATTCTATCTGTGTATGCTTCACCCCCATAGACACATACGATGCTACCACTGACCAAAACAGGTTGTTTTTTCTTTTCTCAACTTCCACCAAGTGAAACATTATGACTCTTACTTGTTTGGTATATAGGGCAGAGTCTTCTAAAAATAGAAGCGCCTCAACAAACTGCAACTAAATCCTTCAAAGAACGTAGACTCACCAATCAAGTATTCAATCAATTAATCAAGTAGTTTCATAATTGAAACAATCAACAGTTAGCATCTTTCCACATTGCCAAAAGAGCTGAAATCTACAACTTAAATCAATAACACGTAAGTTTACGAAATAGTTTGATCTATTAGATTTGTTGTAAAACTTAAGATTACACTATCACTCCAATCAATTCCAGAAAGTGGTCAGCTATGAAAATTGAAATGGAAAAAAAATGTAAGCTAAATGTTCAGATGTTAAGAAAGATTCAATCAAGTGATTTCAGCTACAAGGGCAACCACAGACCTACTTAGCAGAATAAAGATAAAAGCCTAAGAAGAGCATAACAGAAACAGGAGCCTGTTAATACCACGACGTACCAAATCTTCCGGATAAGCTCAACCGCTGTAAATGGTGGGCAGATTACACTTGAAACTGAATGACGGTTACTGGTCCCAGCATTGCAACCTGTAGAGGATGTAAAACTATTCTGACTGTATACACTTTCCGTCTGCATTATCCTACAACACTGCCATTGGTCAATAGACTCAATACAGGTTGCTTGAGATTTTCAACTTCCATCAACCAAGTGAAACGTTCCGACTATTATTTGTTTGGCATATACTATAGGGCACTGTCTCTTCACGAGTTCCAACACAATAGTGCCTTGACAAACAGCAACTAAATGTTTCGAGAATCATATACTCATACAAATCAATCACTCATTTAATTACACAACTGAAACACTAATTTCTAAACCAAACATAAAATTCACCCTATATTCAGCAGCCACAAAAAGATTCAATAATCTAGCAAGGGACTAGTTATCATATAGCTATTATCGCTTTCAAAAGGAGATACATCTAAAAGCACGGCCATAAAACCAGCAGGCAAAAGTCAGGTATATGCATATACGAATAACCTAGATGCGAAGAAGTTGTATTGTAGAACAAAATCGACTTGACTCTGTATGGAGTGCAGCGGATCATCCTACGCCTACCCCTACCCATGTAGAGTTACTAGAGAAGACCCAATTCGCTATTCTAAAACCTCATATAATGATCAGAATTAAGGGGCTGTCTATTTCTCTTCGATCCATGTGGTTCACTGCCGGATCGTTGACCACTTTCAAAAACTTGGGGAAATTAGGGTTTCATGTAAAATCTAATAAGTGAAGTTGAATTCTTCCAAAAACAAAGCTACAAAATTGAACCGAACAACACGCAAACCTGGGTCGTCAGTGCTCAACCACCACGGATCGGATCAACGATCTTCTGCTTCTTCTGAAGAAGAAACCCTTCAACCCCATCGTTGTTTGTAGAAGATTCACACCCAGAAAGACGCTTCCTTTTCAGATTTGTCGATGTCATACCCAGACATGCGGCTGCCCTCCTTCTCAGCGACCTCTTCTTCTTGGGAATGGTGATGGGGACTGACGAAAACCCAAAACTTGTTTTCTTGTTGGGCCTCCTTCTCAGAGACGACCGTTTCTTCCTCGGAACGATCGGGAAGGAATCAAGATCAGATTTCGATTTCTTGGCAGCACAGAAACGGATGAAATCTGCAACAACAGAAAATTCATCAAAAATCCACCTTTTCTCTGCCTCCCAATTCCGAAGGACCACCGCAAACTCCGACAAAAGATTCAAATTCGAACTCATTCTCACAAAACCAAATCAATTCAACAGAATGAGAGAGTGGGTTTAGAGTTTCGGATCAGTAGTCAACAGAATGAGAGAGAGAGAGAGAGAGACAGAGTGGGCTTAGGGCTTTAGGATCAGAATTCACAGAGACGGAGAGAGAGAGTGGGTTTAGAGTTTCGGATCAGTAGTCAACAGAATGAGAGAGAGAGAGAGAGAGAGAGAGAGAGACAGAGTGGGCTTAGGGCTTTAGGATCAGAATTCACAGAGACGGAGAGAGAGAGAGAGGAGTGATCGATCAGGCGCTGTTTGCAGAGAGAGAGAGAGAATGAACCGTTGGGAGGGGAGATAGATGGATAGATAGCCGCTATAAGGCGGTTCAACGGTCGATTCGAGAGCGAGATTTCAAATTTCAAATTTCAGAATTCCAAATGCCTTGCATACGTCAGACGAGTGACGATTATAGTGATTGGACTGGAATTGGAAGCTAAGTCTAACCTGGTCAACTCTCTCATCATTTTTTTTTTAGAATTTTAACCAAAAATTACATTTTTACACTAAAACGTCAATCTTATTACTATTTATTTTATCTTTTATTTTATCCTTATCGTTAAAACTCAAAGTTTTCAAACATTTTGTTTTCTTTTACGTAATCTCTAAAATCAATTTTATCCCCTTCTTGTTATTTTAGAGAAAATTCTTAAACGGTAATTTAAAAATCAGACAATCTGAATTATTGATTCTTTGAAGTATACTTTCACTCATGATTTTTAGCCTTGATGAGATGCCAAACCAACTCCAAAATACTCCCTACTCTTTTGTTTTTTTTTTCTTTTTCTAGCCATGGTTATAGCTTTTTCTAACCCCAAGGATAGTCATCTTTAGCTGATGTCAACCACGTTCTTTTATTTTATTTTTATACGAGACACGACGAGTGGCCTGATGAAAAAGTTGTGCATGTTGCCCGCCCCAATTGCAGGGATGGCAACGGTTTGGTTTGGAGATGGAAATGTTATATTCATCCTTATAACCATGAAAATTAACCATATTCATAACCGTAAATTAACCATTGAGGATTATCCATAACTATATCCACCGGTTAACGGATTTTCAATTGGTTATCAGTTATATCCATCTTCGTCAAAAAATTAAAAAAAATTATATTCATCCAATTGATGCACTATAAATTTTAGTAGATACTAGTTCCATCATTAAATAGCAACATCCAATTACAAAAAAACATAACAATATATTTGAAGCTGTTTATGATAAGCCAATATGATAAATTGGTCCAATAAAAAAAAAGGACAAGCAAATATGAAAGGAAGACAAAACAAATTGATTCAATGAATTAATTTCTTGATAGTGAGACTCTTGAAGAAAGATGAATCTGATAAACTTGGAACATTTGATAATTGATATATAAAATGATTCAATGAATTAATTTGGTTGAGTATAACAATAAGAGTATTGAATTGATGAGGTTGTTGGTATGCCCCATGCATGATGTTTGGTGCATAATAAAGATAGTATAGGGTTTGATGCATGCATAATAAATTAGTATAGACAGGGTTCGGTAAATTGAATAAAATTATATTTTATATCAAAAAAAAAAAAAAATATATATATATATATATATACACACACAGTAAATTCGGATTGGATTCAGAGACAGATATGGATTGGAAACCCCTATAACCATATCCAAAACCATAACCGAATAAAGTTCACGATTCTTCCCCATATCCATACCATACCGGAATTTTCATATCCAAATCCAATCCATTCGGACGGTAATCCACGATTATCGGGTTTAATGGTTAGAATTGCCATCCCTACCCAATTGTCTGTTGCCCCTATAACCATATCCAAAACCATAACCGAATAAAGTTCACGATTCTTCCCCATATCCATACCATACCGGAATTTTCATATCCAAATCCAATCCATTCGGACAGTAATCCACGGTTATCGGGTTTAACGGTTAGAATTGCCATCCCTACCCCATTGTCTGTTGCACACATAATAGCTACTTCAACAGCTTTATGAGGCGTGGCACAATCATGTCCTTCCAATTCCAACGGTCATGATTTTATTTATAATAAGTTGTTACCAAACAAGTTTTATATTTTCATTTTATTTACAATAAAAACGAAAAAAATTAAAGCAGAAGTGAATATCAAACAAGCTCGTAATGGTTTCCATTGAAAAATTACTAAACGAAATACATGATTAGATCAAGCTTGAGTATGGATTAGATTAAGCTTGAGTATTGACCTTGTCAAGTTTCATTCGGCATGCTGTGAACCTTGCCCTTCAAGCTATCGCTTAAGACATTAACACATGAGTAAGTTCCAACCATAGAACGTCTTCTATGTGTGCCTAAGTGACTGACCGGGAAGACAAAGTGTGATCTAAAAACAAGTAACTTGTAAAACAATCAACGATATTCAGGTTTCCCTAACCTTTTAAGACGACTAAATCTCCGTCTCCGGTGTAAAAATAAGCCACCAGCGCCGGAAAAATCAAGTGTTACTTGTGTAATCAGACCCCATCAAACTGCACACAGAAGACAAATTATTAAAATTCCAAATAAGCTCCGCTACATATATGCGTGTGGTGCGCGCTGTCAAAATATAACGAACAAGAAGCTCACCTCCTATCAACAATTACCACTGAACGAAGCTCGCAATTAGCAAAGCTGCATATAAACAGAATTCCACTCTTAAGCTTAACATTCATAGCAAAGCTGCATATAAAGAACAAATATCCGAGACCAGTAGAACGTTTTTTATACACATACGATTATAAACATCTTCCCGTGCTGCGGAGGTACATCTATCCCGTCTCTGTATGCTTCACCCCCAAAACAGCCGCTGCTTTCTGCATGGTCCTACAAGGCAACTATTGGTCAAAACAGTCCTTATTTCATTTTTCAACTTCCACCTAGTGAAACATGCATAAGACTTTACCAATCACTCAATAAAAGTGCAAAACTGAAATAATAAAGGAATGAAGGCTTGCAGCATGCCTCCTCTTAAATTAAACTAGTCCATAATTTCACCTATTCGACAGTATTCTCGGCAAGCTAATCAATGGATACCTGCTTCCGCTTTCATTATTTAAAGACCCTCCATTAACTGCACTATCAGGATGCATTTTTCTTCTCCTCCTATTATGGCCAGCCAAACCCGTACAGCAACTTCTCTTCCCTTCATCAAGCTCTCGAAGAGCATGAAACCTGTCCATGAGTGTTAACCCCCTGTTACATTTAATTCAACAAAAGAAAACTTCTGCAGAACTCAACAATACTAAAAAAAGATTGATGAACAGCCCTGGGCAACAAACGCATAACAAGAAACTTACACAACCAAACTCTATATTTCATCTTCAATAAACAAAATCGTGGAAATTTTTCGACCAAACAAGAGATAACAATAGAATGGTACCAACCTGCTACACTGTTGACAGAACAGCTGCATAACATTTCCAACCAGTGCTTTAGTTGCCTTAGAATGCACATCACAGACCTTATGTCGCCGGTGGTAATCCTTGGCATTGCTAAGATCAGTAAAGAAAACCAAAGCAAATAAAATAGCATTTGGGATGGAAGAAGATTGTTGCATATCTCGTGTTTACTTTACAACGCTCGTATTTATTCCAACCAAATGGCGAAATTAACAAGTATATAACAAGCATATGGCAGTATGGCAGAATCAGTGAGTGTATTATCACAATCTCAATGTAGTTTAATACGGTTACAGCAGTGGGTACGACTTCAGAAGATTTAAGATACATATCAATTGAAAGCTTGAAAAAGATCTACATAACCCAATGAGCATATCTTCTCAGTTGCTAATGCACACGACTCTCGTCTGGCTTTCTCTGGAAAAAAAGAGACCCTAATAGAACAGCAATGCCTGTTAGTGCAACGGTGAATATAAGCCGCTTCCGTGAAAACTCGTTTGCCTGTCTTCTTGGAGGACCTTGTCTTCTTTCAGCTGGCCTAGCATCCCTTCAGATGAAAATCCAAGGATTAATACCCGACAGATGAAGACAACAGGAACAACACTTAACCAGTCACCGTAATTATAAGATTAGGCCATCTCCTAATGTCAACCAATGAATAGATGCGCTAAAAGGTTAGGCAGTTTCAAATGAAGTAAACAAAATAAAGTCTCTCCCAGCTCGTTCAAAGATGGTGAAACGCTGACGGTGCAGGATTACAAAACCAGGGTTATTCACAAGATTCACCGACCCAAAGAAATCTAATGAATCTGATCCACTCATAATCAGATTGTAACACCATGCTAAATAACATGTAAATCAGCTTGTGCTGAGAGCAAGAGCTAGAAATCACAATATCGTGACTCAATTTGACTTCTCTTTTGTTACTTTACAGCAATAAATAACAAACAGTTGCAAATGAACCCAAATTAAAAAGAAACTGACTTCAAAGACTGATCAGTCAGAAAGATTTGTTTAACTTTACCCTAATTAAGTTTTTTTCAATTAACTTGAATAAAAAAGCAGATGAAGGTTTAGCTACACACTTAGGGCATCAATAATGGAACAATTGAGGACACTTTTCTTTCCCTTTTTCTTTCCAAATAAGTAATTACGTTGTTTTGGTATCTAGGATTTGATTGGGTAACTCACTAGATTCAAGATATGTTGAAGTAAGAAAAGGAGGCCAACTTCCAAATTTTATCCATGGATGACGAAGGTTAGAATATATATTAGTCATGAAGGAAACTTAATTCCTTTCTAATCCAACCATTTTGTGGGGATCGGAAGGTAAAGTTTCCTTCATGACTACTCCATCCTTCCACTTGGACAAAATTAAGAAATTGACCTTCAATTCTTACTTTAACATTGATCAAATCTAGTGGATTATCCAGTTTAATCCAATCTTAGGAACAGAAAGTGACCAAAAAGGATAAAAATTTGTAATATTACTATTGAGTAACTACTACTGATACTAGCATTGCTACCCAAACAGAGGACCAGCACAGTTCTTTAATCACCCTAACATAACAAGTACAACGTTACAACACTAAAAAAATTCCAAGATGTATAATTAAAGTCACTAAATTCAAACCAATTATGAAACTATCAAAAGAGGTACAGAAAAGAAAAAAAAGCATGCAAACATAAAACAGCACTCAATGTTACATCATTCACGATCAATTAAGACTTCTGCAGTAGTTTGTGAAGAACACTTCGCCGTAAATTAGGTCGATATACACACAGTACAGTTTCTAATAAAAACAATATCATCCACAGAATTAGGGAGGGGGAAGGAAATAAGAGATGTCCAAGAATCTATAACTAAACTTATGAAACACAGGTAGTTGACTATCAATTATAGGCTAAAAGATGGCAAGTGAATTTGTTCTTACGCCTTCCTCAAAGATACAACAACAACAACAACAACAAAGCCTTTTCCCACTAAGTGGGGTCGGCTATATGAATCCTAGAACGCCATTGCGCTCGGTTTTGTGTCATGCCCTCCGTTAGATCCAAGTACTCTAAGTCTTTTCTTAGAGTCTCTTCCAAAGTTTTCCTAAGTCTTCCTCTACCCCTTCGGCCCTGAACCTCTGTCCCGTAGTCACATCTTCGAACCGGAGCGTCAGTCGGCCTTCTTTGCACATGTCCAAATCACCAGAGCCGATTTTCTCTCATCTTTCCTACAATTTCGGCTACTCCTACTTTACCTCGGATATCCTCATTCCCAATCTTATCCTTTCTCGTGTGCCCACACATCCCACGAAGCATCCTCATCTCCGCTACACCCATTTTGTGTACGTGTTGATGCTTCACCACCCAACATTCTCTGCCATACAACATCGCTGGCCTTATTGCCGTCCTATAAAATTTTCCCTTGAGCTTCAGTGGTCTACGACGGTCACACAACACGCCGGATGCACTCTTTCCATCCAGCTCGTATTCTATGGTTGAGATCTCCATCTAATTCTCCGTTCTCTTGCAAGATAGATCCTAGGTAACGAAAACGGTCGCTTTTTGTGATCTTCGCTAGATTGCTCCGGTCATTAGTGTGGATAAGTATATAAATGGATAGAGATAGGAAAGCAAACACAAGATGTACGTGGTTCACCCAGATTGGCTACGCCCACGGAATAGAAAGAGTTCTCATTAATTGTGAAGGGTTTACACAAGTACATAGGTTCAAGCTCTCCTTTAGTGAGTACGAAGTGAATGATTTAGTACAAATGACATTAGGAAATATTGTGGGATAATGATCTCGTAATCACGAAACTTCTAAGTATCGGAGTGTGGTGTCGTCTTGACTTGCCTTATCTGTCTCATAGGTAGATGTGGCATCTTCTCTGGAAGTACTCTTCCTCCATCCAGGGGTGGTATCTTTAACTGGTGGAGATGCACAAGGTAATGTATCAATTTCACTTGAAGCTTACTTGTAGTTTCAGGCTTGGTCAAGCGCGATACAAACCATGTAGTAGGAGTCCCCCAAGTCGCCGAGCTAGGGGGTCTGCTGAAAGAGGTGACAGACAAGGTAAGCAATCAGAGCTCCGACTGATTGTTCACCTTCTCCCCATCTTGCAGCAGCATGAAGGATAAAGAGAAGAAAAATGAGAAGAGATGATATGAGATACTTTTGCTTTTGAAGAAGTAACTTTCCACAGGCTTATTCTTGAACTGAGCTGGAGGGTTTTCTGGTTTCCTCCAGAGTATAAGGCCGACTGAAGAATTTGAGGGTCAAAACAAGTCCATCAAATCTAGAGTACGTTCCACCCTGCTGATATGGGATACTTTTGCTTTTGACAGAGTAATGGATGTATCGGCACGTGTGCTGTTACGCTTGTCTCCACATGCTTCCTTGTATCCTTCGCACTTGCCCTATCTGTTCCTCAAGCAGATGCGGAATCTTCCCTGGAAACATAAGATGATTGAAGATGAGTCCTCGAGAGCAATGCCAGGTAAGTAATCAGGTAAGGGGTTCCAGGCAGTCAATTCCTGGCTGGAAGCTTGATTCCAAGTACTGACTGATTGCTCTCTTTCTCCTTGTCTTGCAGGTAAAAACAAGGCCAAAAGAAAAAACAGGGAAAAAGCATGATATGAGGATACTCTTGCTTTTAACCCTGATGATATGAGATATTCTTGCTCTAGTATAGCTTGTTTGCAGAGGTATTATCGGGGGAAAAGAAAGCTGAATATTTCGAAAGGCTTTGTTGGGAGTGCCCTCTCAGATATGATGAAGGGTTGAGCATTTTTGCAGGTCTGCCTGTCCGTTGGGGATGGAGGTCGACATATATAGGAGTCTCCCTAACAACAAGTAGTAATGCTATTCCTTTACCCTGCTTGGTCATAGCACGGTAGTGGGAGCTGCCAGTTTCACATGTTTTAACTCTGTCAGAGCACTTTGAAAAAGTGGTCTGTGGTATCTGGCTCTCGAGATTCGGAGAACGATGCCTCTTCGATTTTTGAGAAAGCAATCATGCTGGGGGTCTGACTCTCTCGAGATTCGGAGAGCAGTGTCTCTTCGATTTTTGAGGAAGTAATCATGTTGGGAGTCTGGCTCTCGAGATTCGGAAGGCGGTGCCTCTTCGATTTTGGAGCAAGCAATCTTGTTGGGAGTGTTGTCTCGAATGTGAGTAAAGGTTGGACATGTTTGCTAGTCTACCTTGCCACGAAGCACAAAGGTTGACACACAGGGACTTTCCAATTATCCAGCAATGGTACTGTTCCTTTACCCTCTCTTCGATTTTGAGAAAGTAGTCATGTTGGGAGTCTGGCTCTCGAGATTCGGAAGACGGTGCCTCTTCGATTTTGGAGCAAGCAATCTTGTTGGGACTGTTTTCTCGAATGTGAGTAAAGGTTGGGCATGTTTGCTAGTCTACCTTGCCACGAAGCACAGAGGTTGACACACAGGGACTTTCCAATTATCCAGCAGTGGTACTGTTCCTTTACCCTTGTGGGTAATAATATGGTAGCTAGACCTTCAAAATTTATGTGTCTAAACTTTGTTAGTGCTGTTTCTTTGCTATTCTTTTACCTTTCTTGGTCAGAGCGATGTAGTGGGAGCTGCAAGCTTCACGTGCTCAACTTTGGCAGAGAACTTTGGCAAAGTGATCTGTGGTACCCATGAGTTATTGTTGCGTGTGGGAAGTGGGTGATTGAACAGTAAGATTCATGTGCTTTCTACTTCACCAGAAGTCTTCGACAAAAATGCCCATAATTTCTGCAAAGCTGAGTGTGCGTGTGACAGGTGCTGACAAGGCTAGAAAAGTAGGTGCCTCTTCGATTTCTGAGATCGGCCCTCGTGGTCTCTGAGCAGCCCAGCTTTTGAGAAAGCGAGCGCCTCTTCGATTGATTCGGAGAACGGTGCCTCACCGATTTTTGAGAAAGCAATCATGCTGGGGGTCTGGCTCTCGAGATTCGGGGAGCAGTGTCTCTTCGATTTTTGA